ATGAAAAACTATATGATTTTAAAACAAATAATCAACATAATAAAATAAATGTGTAAATTAGGAATAAAATTGTTTTCTCATAAAAAAAAAACAATTATTTGATAAAAAATAGTGATTGACATCTTCTTAAAAAATAGAATATATTTTTTTAATAAAAAGTGCAAAGCAAATACAGTTATTTAAAGATATGAAACATATAATATTAAAATAACAAATCAGTAAAAAGAAATTGGCCCTCAAAATCTAATTTAAAATTTATCGATCTTTCCCCCCCCCCCAATTCAAACCTTACCACTGTTCAAGGAAAAATTATGAACATAAAAGGCAGAGGGGAGGGGGAGAGAATTGTGTATTTCATAATTACAAATATACGGTAAACGACTTACCTGATCATAATTATCATGGCCATGGAAGAAAGGTTCTTTTCTGAATATCATACTAGCCAGCATGCAACCTAAACTCCACATGTCTAAAGAATAATCATACATCTGAAAATGAAATATATATATATATTTAAAAAAATTAAATTTCTTATACTCAGCATAAATAGTGTTACAGTCTGGCTACACTACTACTGTCCTTAAAAAAATGCCTTATGGCAAGAATCTGATAAAATCGTACATACATCAGTTATCTCTAATGAGCTGCCTTTTTTTTTATGAAAAAGTTTTTTGAAAATGCTGTCTCCTTTTAAAAAAATACTTTGTCGAATATTTGGTTGAACATTCGGCAAAAGGGCCAAATAACTTATATTAGTCGAATATTTGTGACAATCTCCAATTGAAAACAAAAACTGGAGAACAAGATTTAACTTTGAGCTATACAAGATTTAAAAACAATGTATTATTAAATACATAAAAATAAATAGAATGAATTGGATGCACCACATGATTCAAATGAGTGATAACAATACAATAAAAAAGATATGCTCTTAGAACAAGAAAGTGAAGAACGCAATTGAGATGGACAGCAATTAAAGAAAAGAATTGGGAATCAAAGATAAATTGGAAGTCGTTATGGAGAAATTTTCAGATGAAGTAAATTAGGCTGTCTGGCCAACTATGATGATGATAGTAAAATAGATGATTTACTTTTTCAAAAAAAATACTCTACCGAATATTCAGAAAAAAGGCCGAATACTGAATAGTGGCCAAATATTTGTTTCATAGCTATAAAAAATTATTATCATTTCTTCATATCAAATCATCATTTCACACATTATATGCCTTCAAATCTAACTGAAATATTACGAACATTTTATAGAATTTCTAAGAATTTATTTAACGTTTATCACTAAAAATCTCAAAAAAATTTTAATCTTTTATTTTTAGTTCAAAATATAATTTAAAATCACCATTACAGTAATATTGCACCACAAAAAAAAACATAAGAAATAATACAGGGAATAAACGATTATTATTCAATGTAAGTTTTTTTCTAATCTAAATAGCTGCATCAAAAGAATTGAAGAATTTGCATCAAAAAATTAACAATTATGCAAAAAGGGTTTCAGTAAAAAATTTTAAGCAAAATTTCTGTAATTACAATTTTTTCAGGATTTTGGCTATAGTTTAAATTTTTCTTGAGATTAAGTCAATTTTAGATCTTCCAAATATTCTACATCTTTCAGACTTTCCTTTAAGCAAATGAATTGGGGATTTTGTGTCAAGATTGTTTTCAAGGTAATTTTGTAAAAAGATTGTTTTCAGAGTAATTTTGAGAAAGGTTTAAGTTCAGAAGCAAATTTAAATATAATGTTTTACAATAAAACTTTTACTAACATTCTGTTTATAACATTAAAAATTAACATAAAAAAGTAAATTATTACCATTATTTATAAATAATTTTATAGCAAGATAAATTCAGAGTTCATTCTAAGCTGGGTTAGCGGGGCACCATGCTTGCTCTTTAAATAAAAAATTATGCCCCGCATGCCCTAAGAATCTGAATATGCTCCCCGACATATTAAGGGGGAATGACCTATTAGCGTAAATTTTTTGGTAAATCCACATCACATGGTTCTCTGATCGTGTTTCGGACGTAATTTATCATCCCCCCTCCCAGTGTTTCCCCATGGTTTTTCAAATTCCGATATATTTAATACGTTATTACGAATTGCGCATTTTGAATTGAGCAGTCACTTTTTTTAAGCATTCAATTTGTGACAATTCCATCGTAATTTCAAGTTATTTGATATTAATTTTTTTGGAAGATTTTGTCTGCCCTTTTCACATGGTTCTTTGAATTTGATATTCTTAATACGATGTTATTACGTCTTACGAATTAACAATTAGGGTTATCTATATTTGATACGTTCAATTTGTGACGATTCTATCGTAATTAATAATATCGTAATTATAGCATTTGATTATGGTTTTTTCGGAAGTTATTAATTATTTTTTGGCCCTTTTACACGATTTTTAAAATTCCGATGTGTTTAATACGATGTTCGAATTTGAGCTATCGCGATTTTATATGTGTCAATTCCACGCCATTTTTGATCGATTTTACGACAGTTATTTATCATTTTATCGACCCCTTTCACGTTATTTTTTAAATTCCGATATTTTTAATACTACGTTAGATTCTTGACAATTTCTTTATAATTTCCCATCTTTGGATGATATTGGGCCGTTCAAAAAGTTAGTGTCAATTCTATAATACTAGATAACATATCAGCACGAGCTCCAGAAAACCTAATAGTTGTATTGGCAGTTATTTATAATTGTATCAGACTTTTGCATATGGTTTTTATCCTTTTTGTGATAGGTGTCCTTTTCAGTTTCTAGCACCCTGCCCTTTTCAAGGTCTAGAATGAGCACTGATAAATTTACAAAAAACAATCAAATTACACATAACAAGACCAAGAATATTAGTAGCATGTAAATTAAACTATAAAGTGTTAAGAAACTTAAAATTTTATGAAAGCTCCTTTAATGAATTATGATTTTTTTTTTCTTTCTATATTGTTTCTAAGCAAGGCCGGTTAAAATAACATTAACCATACCTACCCATGGTTATGGCACTTACCTGATAGTCTACCAAGAGCTCAGGTCCTTTAAAATAACGAGAGGCAACTCTGACATTATATTCTTGGCCGGGATGGTAAAACTCAGCAAGACCCCAATCAATCAAACGTAACTAAAAAGAAAACATTTTGAGTTTGACTTTAATTGCAAACCAGAAGTAATATATTTTAAGCAGCAACAATATTTTTAAAAGTTATTTACAGTAACCAAATTATTAATCATCTGTTTTCTTCTAGACAAATTTAATTTTTCAGAAAATGAGCCAAGCATTCTCCTGCAAGGTATTCAAGTTTTACATTTAAAAATCCTTGGGAAAGAAGGGGGAATAATGAGGACAAAAGGAAAGAAACATTTTATTTCCACATTCCATTACTTTTCAACCTTTTTAGTAAAATATAGAATTTATTGAGGAAAATAAGATTGACAACTTGCCAAATTTATTTTAACTCCTGCTTCATATAGCCAACTTTTAATTGCTTACTTTTGATAAATAATGGAAGGTATTTTGAAATTAGTGTTCAATTCACATGCTTATGGGAAGGAGATGGTCCACATAAAACTTGTCCAACAAAAAGTTTACTCAATAATACAGTACAGAACCCGTTATCCGGAAATCAGAAAACCAAAAAATCGGAACAAAATTCAATAAATTTTAGCGCCATTTTAAAAAAAAAAAAAATTTGCCTCAAGATTTTAGGATTTTTTGTTTCTTTTTTGAAAGATTTTTACTTTACCATTACTTTGGAAATAATCATTAGTGTATTCCTTCATCGTTTTTTCTTCTTTTTAAGATTATTTCCAAAAAAACATTTTTTTTGTTGGATCTAACAATAAACAAACGGCTTTTTGTAGCGATTCAGAAAACTGGAAAAATCAGTTATCCGGAATAGCGTTATCCGGAATAGCGATGGTCCCGATCGTTCCGGATAATCGGTTCCCTTCTGTAACATCAATTTTTCTTTAACAAAGCTTTAAGTTTAAGTAGGTTAAGTTTAAACACTAGTGGTAAGGACACAGAATCTTGAGTTCCCACTCTCTTGTAAGACAACCACCAGAAAGAATAAAGGCAGAATTCATATAAAAATGAAAAACTATTACGTCATTTTCTTTAACTTAATTGTGTTAAAAAAAGCAAAATGATAAAAGCTCCAAATTTATAAGAGTAACAGTAAAAATATTAGAAACTTTAAAGAAAGTTCAAATTTCTTACCTTCTTGATTACAATAAAATTATACATTAAATTTAAAAATTTGCATGCACATATTAATCATACATTAAATTTAAAAATTTGCTACATGAAAAAAATAACTAGAGACATTAGGTAAGGTTAGAGAACAGATATATTACTTTTCTATTTTCATGGTCAATCATAACATTGTGGGGTTTAACATCTCGATGCATGATGCCCATGCTATGACTGTAATCTAAAGCCTGAAATATACATAAAATCATGTCAAAATCAAATACAAAATCTAAAAACAAAATGTAGTAAATAAAAAAAAAATTGCAGATACTTACCTTTAACAATTCATAAAGGTAAAATCTAATGTCATAATCTGTAAGAGTTTGATACAATTGCTGGAAAAAAGTAATAATTTTAATCAATCATTTTAGTCCAAATTCGAAAATAGATTATAAGAAGTTGTAATAGCTAACAGACATTATTTTTTTATTTATTTTAAGACTTACTTTGAAATCTGTATTATTCACATGTTCAAATATTAGTGCTGGAGTTCTTGACTAAAATAAGTAAAACATAAATAAAGTTAATGACATTTATATTAATAGCATATAAATTAGAAATAACAATTTCTAATTAAATTCTTCAAATAAAGGAATTATGAAACTTTTATTCATTGAATTTATATAAGCAGTACATTATACCACTTATAAAAAATTAAAATAATATGCTTTTAAAATTTAAAAAAAAAAACATTAAAGAGAATTTAAATGTGAGAATTTATTCAGTTTACTAGATAGAATAAGAAAATTATTCTTAAAAAATTCAATAAATCTCATTAAATGAAAAAAAAAATTTCAAAGCGAAAATAAAAAAATTTAAAACATTACAACTTAAGTTTTATCCCAAAATATAGAATTACTTTATAATTAAAAACAAGTTTTATGAGTGTAGCATTAATTGAGTTTTTTTTTTTTCCTCAATGTTTTCTATTATCATGAAGATAAAAATATAATATTTGAATAAATCTGTTGGTTAGATAATTAAGCCTCAGTACTAACTACTTTTGTGCAAAATATTATTAGGTGACCAAATCAGAATATTTACATAAAACTGATTCATCTGGTAAACAAATGGAAAATAGAAACTGTGAGGCCAGTCACATACCAAACTATATGACTATAACAGCTAGCTAAAAACTATATACATATATATAAATTTTTATTTCTTTAAAAAAAATCCACATTTGCACAACAAATAGAAATTTAAATTAAAACTGGTATAAGTTAAATTTTTTTTCACAAGAAAACAGTTTCTATTTTATTTATTTATTTTTTTAGCCATTCAAACCCTAAAACTTACATACTTATGCAATAAATCTATTTTCATAATGTGATCAATAAATGGTTAATTTATTTTTTGTTAACATCACGAACAACAAAACCTCATAAATATGTACTAAATATTTGACACAAAGTAAATATACTTAAGTAAGGATCAAAAAGTTATATAAACGAAAGGTTGAACGGGAAAATGAAAAATAAAGGAAATTTTAAAGAGTTCAATAATGGTTGGATTTTTTTCTGTGTTGTTTATTGATATATTTTAAGAAAATTGTTTCTTTCATTCCTTTGTGATAGATACATACATTGTGGGGCATACTGGGGAATTTTTGCTTTTAGTATAACGTACATACCGTGTTAAAGACAACTTTTTAAAAACTCCAAAATTTTGCAAAACTTAGATGGTATACTTTTACACTGGTAATAAAGTAGGACATTTGTTGATCGTGAAATATAGATACATTAATAAACAATGAGATAAATATAAATACTATCAATTTACGCCTTTCATAAACTATTTATAATATGTTATATACAATTCATTTTGTGTATTTTTTTTAAATATATATTTTTTACATTTAAAGGTTATTTTTAAAAAAAATTTTTGAATTATATTTAGAAAAAATATTCCATAAAACTACAAGTCTAAAGTTTCCAGAAATTGATCCATGTCAGATTCAAAGACATTAGCAGCATTGTCATACACCTTACAGCATTTGTTAATACATCTTTATTTGAGAGCAAATGTATCACATCCAGCGCGAACATTAATAAATATTTTTAACTTGAGAAAATTTTGTAGATTTAATAACTTATTTTTTTGTTTTAAAAATTTCCATATTTTTTTCAGCCTAAACAGTTAACTTAACCCCCAACATGCCAGAAATTTGCAACCTCGAAATTAAAAATAGAGGGTCAACTTATATATGGGGATATATGGTAACTGTTTTCAAATACCTGTTTCTGAAAGTGTTACAAGAAAGAACTGCTACTTAAATCAAAGAATAGTTTGAGTTTTATGTTGGTTCTAATTGCAGTTCAGCTGCAGTAAGAACATCTCACCTATTCAGGTTTTTCTTTTTTTATCATTGGCATAAGTACTATGGATTGCAAACTGTTATTTCAAAAGATACAAGACAAAACAGGCAAAGACAAATTTAAAATATTCTCTTAGCAATGAAAGAAATAATAATACATAATTTAAGGGTACTTACTACAAAATCTTTAACTACTGCTTGAAGTGCAATTATATTAGGTCCTCCTCTCAAATTTTCCAAAATTTTGATTTCTCTTTTTATCTTCTTTTTTTTAACAGGCTGAAAAATTCAAAACAGATTGGGATAATCAACAAATAATAGTGAAATTCATTAAGCTAAAAAAAAAAGTAAACTTGCAATTTAACTGCTTGTGCTGGAAAAACGTGATTTCCGCATAAAATCGCAAGACATGATGTACATGTTAGAAGGCAATTTTCAAAAATGACAAAGAAGCTTGTAGTACAGAAATAGAAAAGATTGTTCAGATTTCCATAAAGCATTGAAAACACAAAACCTTGCAGAGCATTGCAATTGACTGTTTTGGTATGAGCATCTGAATTTCTTACAAGTGCTTAATACTTTTAGCACTAATAAAAGTAAACATACTCATTTCCATTTTTTTTTTTTTTAAACATGGCAAAATATTTTTACTATAAAATTCATTAGCAATTTAAGTGTTTTAAAAAAATTGCTTAGTGTACTAAATGTTAAGCAAAATACCATCTAATATTGATTAAATTATACAAATAGTAATTTTCTCAAAATATGAACTTTTGCTTAAGCCAATTAGCCAAATTTCAAAGCATTATAAACTTGATTCTAATAATTTTTAGTATAAGATTATACATTTAAATAAATAAATCAATGACCAGCAATAAAAAAAACTAAAAAAGTAGAGCCAGTCTTAAATTAATTGGAATTGCACAAAAAAATTTAATTACTGCCCCATCATTTAAAGGCTTTAAAAATTCATGAAGAAAATTATTTTAAGAATTAATAAATAATTAATTGCAAATTTAATTGATATAAAAAAAGGACTATATCTAGAATTTTAAGAAATAACAAGAGTTTCTATGAGAACTTTTACTATTTCATTGTAAAAACATCTTTATATCACTCATATTTTTATATTACTTTAAGACCAAATTTTGTAACCAATGCTTTATCCTTTTTAATTTCAAAATATTTTTTTCTTAACTACATCCCATTTAATCTATAATAATAATTAACGAACATAATAGATATTTTTTATTTGATATTTTAAAATATGTTTTGTATAGTTCATCCAAATAGTTTATTAAAAATTGGCTCTAGTGACATCCTTTAAATGACACATAATTTCATTTTTTGGCTATCTTGTGCATGCAACCAATATATATATATATATATATTATTCTAAAATTAAAAAATGAAGAGTATTTGAAACTGAAGTTGTAAATTTCTATAATGAGTAAAGATTATTATTTTTTTATGAAACTAAATTCTTATTTATACTCACAATTTTTCAAATAAAAATTTTGAAGAAAAAATTTATATTTAGACATTGATATTATTGAAATGAAAACTTGACTTTCTGTACTCTGAGTAAGTAAGCACTAATTTATTTAAAATATATGATTCAATATTGTTATATAATAAATAATAATCATAAATTAATGTGGTGAAGAAATATTACGATACACAAAAATATTAAATTGCAAAGTGGTACATTTTGAATGTTGATGAATAGGTGTGTAAAAGGCTAAAAAAAGAATAATTTTGCAAGTATTCTGAGCTATGTAATTGCTAATAAGAGTAAAAAGATAACATAGAAAAACCAAGCAATATTTTAATTCATAATTTAGAAAATAAATAAATAAAAATGTCGGTAATTTTTTTTTTTTTTGCTATTAAGTTTTATTTTACAAAGTTGATATTTTGATCTTCTAAAACAAACTATAGTTGGAGAGGAAAAAACAGAAAGTGTTTATAATTATTTAAATACTTGTAAGTAGATTATTATAACTTTATCTCAATATTAAGAAATAGCAGTCATAAATTTGCTTTTAAGTTTCGTAATTTTGCATTCCTATGTTTACAATGTTAATATTACTGTCCCTTTTAAGTGGATTTTTTGGTAGAGACAGTAATAACAAAAAAATTATTTTTACCAAATATATGAACAGGGTTATCACTTTAATCTGGAAAAAAAATTCACTGCGTTTTCCCAGTAATTACACAATATATTAAGAGGAAAACACAACCATTGTGTTCTTGTGTGTGCCATATTGGGCTAACTATTCTAGTTTTAATTGCTGGAAGAACTTAGAGAAAAAAGGAACAGCAAAACATACTTAAAACAAATAGTGCTATAATATAGCTGAAATATCATTTTTAAATATCCCATAAATTGCTATTTGAGTGGTCATCATTTTTTAAAAGACAAAAATAACAAATTCCTCGTATTTGTCCAGCTTGTAAAGAAAAACTTAAAATTTCCTTCATTTCCCCAGCTATTTTAGGTAAATTCCCTGTATTTCAAGGTTTTCCCTTTTCTTCTCGCGAAATGGCAACCCTGATGAAAAACCATTTCATTTCTCGAATAAAATTATCCATATTCCATAAAAGTAAGTTGCATTTTGTGCAAAAAAAAAATTTTTTTTACTAGCTAGAAATTTCTTAGAAGAACATTAGGGGAACAGTAATTAGATTCAATAAAGTCGAACAAAAATTTAAGTTGAAACTAAGCGTAATGAAGCTTTAAAAAATGGTATTGCAATTAAACATTACCTGTAAAAAAAAAGAGTTATCTTAATACCCTGGAAATTATTCTTTATTCAACTAGAGTCATCTATAGTGTTTTATCGTCACATTTAATACTTGAGACGGTAATTAAACAAAAGATAGAAGCACATACAAAATTATGTGTAGAACAAAATATACTAATTATTCTTAGAATATTGATGATACATATTCAAGTACATAGTTTTTTTATAACAGATAATGTAAGTCTTTTATAAAACAGTAAATTACTTAGAAAATTCATAAATGTGTGTTGGGGACATGGAAAAGTAACAACAATTAATCAACATTTTATTTATTTAATTATTTTAAAAACAAAATGTGTTTGAAGAGTAATATAGCTTAAGGACTTAAAACTTAACGAATTGAGAAAATAACCCATATACTTATTAATAATATACCTGAAAATTCAATTAAAGGAAGAATTTGAATACTCTTAAATGAAACAAAATAGATTGTTTTCCAAATTATACAATGTTAAAAACATTTTTCTACATTTAAACAAAACATATAAGGGCATAAAAAAAAGCAAAATTCTATAAATAAAATGTACCTTCAATATTTTAACAACACATTTTTCATTATTTGATACATTGATGGCTTCAAATACTTCACTGTATTTTCCTCTGCCTAGTTTTCTTACAAGTTGATAGTTATCTTGATTTCTGCAAACACCATAAAAAAATTCATTGATTAAATTGCAAACCATAACAAAAATTAAATAATTAAACATTTGATTTAATTTAATAAGATATTGATTATTTTAATTTTAGACTTATTCCAATTCTATGGAAGTTGATAATAATTAGCAAACCAAAAAAAAAAAATTATGGATAAATTGTTTGTCCAAAAAAACTGTAAAATCGAACAACGTCCTAGAACAACCAAAAGTACATTTTTTTATTACTTAGGCTGTTAAAAAAAATTTTTTTAAAGAAACTTAATTTACAATATTTAAAAATATTTTTCAAAATATGTTACTCTAACAAAAAAGTATTTAAAAAATTAAAACAAGATTATAAGTTATATATGCAAAATATTGCTTACCCCCATTCTACAACATGAGATTCATAATCCCAATATTCTCTTGGGCGGTGAGAATTGACATCAGCATAAACTCTGGCTCGACTAGGCAATGGCATGTTGCGAAAAGGTAAAGAAACAAAGAATTTCAATAATTTTGAAGCCACCAAAGTGAGACAGCATCAAACGGCCTATAAAATAAACAAAGTAATTACGCAGGAGTAAATAAACATTTTTCTTTTACAATTAAATAATGAAAAACTTCCAATATGACCTATAGAATAATCAGGGTTTGCAAAAACCTAGGTTTTTGAGAAAAAACCCAGTCCATTGAGAAAAAACCCATGTGGGTTTTCATGAAGAAAAAAAACAATTTTGCATGATTATAAATGAGTTTTTTCAAGTATATATCCTAAAAGCAAACTTAAATATAATAAATTTAAGCATAAGATACATTTAATGATGAAAACATATAGCTTAATTATTCATATTGCTTGATTACCAAAAGGATTAAAAGAATGGTATTAAGAATAACTATTTCAGTCATTTTTTGCCTTCTAAATGAATAATAAATTGCATAATGATGAAGTTACTGAAATGATTATTTGTAAAATATAAAGCATACGAAGTTATGTGATTAGTTTAAAATAATAAATAAACACGTAGTTTGCTTTAAGTTAGTGAAAGGAATTTTTAAAATTCCTTGTAAAAATTCATGAAATGAAATGCGGTGGTCTTTTAGTCGAATATGGGATGTATTTTACATTATATGGATTCTTTATGCTTTACAATTTACAAATAATTATCAACTTTTATCTTTATTATACATTTTGCTTTTGAAATGAATGAAAAAAAAAACTAATAAAGTTTAAACACTTGTTTTCTAACCATTCCAAGTATAAAATGTAAGATTTTAAAATAAACATACAGAAATACTCAATTATTTTAATTAAGAATTAGGTATGAATGAGCACATTATGAACAACCAATATATACGATATGCATTCACATTTCATTACATGTTCAATTATATGTTCACTATAGTTTAATCTTTCTTTTGTATATCAATATATTTCATTAAATAAAATATTAGCAAACAAAACTAAGATACATAAATATTTAATTAAATAAATTTTTTGTACTTGTTAAAATGTAAAATATAAATTTAAAATATCAGAAATTTCCTATTATTGAAATATTTAAACATAACAGAAATTGTTTAGTCCCTAAATGATTTCACAGTTTGAACTGTACTAATCTATAATCCGAAAATCCAGCTGTCATAAGAGAAGCAGTGAATATTTGAGTAATTAGATGAGATTTTTTGGCTTTCAACTGATGATCTAAATTATGGTTTTTTGCCAAATTCGGGGTTCAATATTCTAAATTTTGTCTTTAAATATAAATTTTTTTACAAAAGGTACAGTTGATGGAAACAGGTATAGTCTATAATTGAGATCTTATTATAAAATGTGGCTATTTTCGTCTATTCTTTTACACATAAACAATAGGTACAGTTTTTTTTTTCAACTGAAAAATTTATTTTCAGACATACTTTGTCTAAAAAAATCATATTCATTTTGAAGGGTTGGATGCATGTAATATATATCCGAAAATGTCTTTTAACCAGCCCTAAAGGGTTCATTCATCAAAAAAAAAAAAAAAAAAGCTTTTAAGTTGTTTATCCATCAATAATTTTTAGTTTACTTTCTTGGAAAAAATTTGTGCATAGTGATTGTTTTTTAGAATGTATTTAATTTTTTTTATAAACTACAAATTTTTCTCTTATTTTGATAATGAGTGAATATTAGTTTTCGAAATACACACATAAAATAGTATAAGAGTGTAATTTAAAAATTGTTGAGGATGAAAATCAGTTATCACATAATATTTAATAAATTTTTTACGGTATTAAGTGAGTGCCCTTTTACAACTCAAAATCTTTTTATTCTGACGAAACAACCCCCAGCGAAAGTCCAAAAACCAATGGTCCTGAGAAACGCGGAATTCAGCGAGATTCCCAGAAAAATCCTGCTCCTAATTTTTGGACCTAGAAGGATAATACGAAGAACTCGGAATACTGGGATACCCCCGTAGTACAATCACCCCTGAACAAGAAACAGAATGTAAACAAGTTCTTGTTTTATTAAAAAAGTTTATTATTTTTCATTATTTATCCTTATGAAATAACATAATTTATCAATATTAAAAGAACTATTTCTGTCATTTTTTGCNAAAAACCTAGGTTTTTAAGAAAAAACCCAGTTCATTGAGAAAAAACCCATGTGGGTTTTCATGAAAGAAAAAAAACAATTTTGCATGATTATAAATGAGTTTTTTCAAGTATATATTCTAAAAGCAAACTTATATATAATAAATTTAAACATAAGATAAATTTAACGATAAAAACATATAGCTTAATTATTCATATTGCTTGATTACCAAAAGGATTAAAAGAATGGTAATAAGAATAACTATTTCTGTCATTTTTTGCCTTCTAAATGAATAATAAATTGCATCATGATGAAGTTACTGAAATGATTCTTTGTAAAATGTAAAGCATAAGAAGTTATGTGATTACTTTAAAATTATAAATAAACACGTAGTTTGCTTTAAGTTAGTGAACGGAATTTTTAAAATTCATTGTAAAAATTCAAGAAATGAAATGCGGTGGTCTTTTAGTCGAATATGAGATGCATTTCTCATTATATGGATTCTTTGAGCTTTACAATGTACAAATAATTATCAACTTTTATCTTTATTATACATTTTGCTTTTGAAATGAATGAAAAAAAAACTAATCAAGTTTAAACACTTGTTTTCAAACCATTCCAAGTACAAAATGTAAGATTTTAAAATAAACATGCAGAAATACTCAATAAATTTAATTAATAATTACGAATGAATGAGCACATTATGAACAACCAATATATACGATATGCATTCACATTTCATTACATGTTCAATTATATGTTCACTATAGTTTAATCTTTCTTTTGTATATCAATATATTTCATTAAATAAAATATTAGCAAACAAAACTAAGATACATAAATATTTAATTAAATAAATTTTTTGTACTCTTTAAAATGTAAAATATAAATTTAAAATATCAAGAAATCTCTATTTCCTATTATTAAAATATTTAAACATAACAGAAATTGTTTAGTCCCTAAATGATTTCACAGTTTGAAGTGTACTAATCTATAATCAGAAAATAATTTTTCTATTCCAGCTGTCATAAGAAAAGCAGTGAATATTTGAGTAATTAAATGAGGTTTTTTGGCTTTCAACTGATGTTCTAAATTATGGTTTTTTGCCAAATTCGGGGTTCAATATTCTAAATTTTATCTTTAAATATAGATTTTTTTGCAAAAGGTACAGTTGATGAAAAAAGTCTATTATAGAGATCTTATTATAAAATGTGGCTATCCGTTAGGACTGGGTTATAAATCGATATATCGCGACACATCGATTTAACGCCTGTATCGGAAGGCCGATACAGCGACTTTCGTTCCAGGTGATGCATCAGAAATATGATTTAAGCCGTCGAGTAAAGAAGACGAACGATATAGCGATACAAGAAACGCAGGGATCTCTTACATTCCGATGGCAACTCACGCTGGGGAAGACGATGTACGTTTCGTTATATTGAAACGGCCTTGATTGATGAGCGGTAGAATCAGAATCAGTTTTGAGAACATATATCGTGATCTCGCATGTTCGTTTCCGCACCTCTTAGTTTTTTTGCTTCTTTGTCGCGACTTGATATCGTTTCTTGTAGATTGTTTGCAGTGGGACTGACTTTGCGATAGCCGTCGTTACCTTGTTCTGAACGTAATCTATTATTGAAAAGAATATATAAAAAAGTATTTCTTATTTAATTCGGTAATTTTTTTTGAAACAAAACTTTCTTTTTTATTTTCAAATGTGAAAATTAATTTTGATATTATATGTTTAAGTATTATTTTACATTATGGAATTTATTACAAACGGAAATCTAATTTAAGGTGCCAATAAAGAATTAAATTGAAAAGTAATTAAATTTGTTAGGCTATGTTTTACTTTATTTGAATTGATTAAAAACTTTTTGGATAAAATAATAATTTATTGGGTTTTAATTACTGGTTTAAAATTTATAAGTTGTTTTTATTTTTATAAATAAAATTGTAACAATATATAACGCGTATAAATAAAATGTAATGTAAATAAAATGTAACGCGTATAAATAAAATGTAATTGTCAATTAACTTTGTTTATTCAAAAAAATTAGTAATGTTTGCGATTACGACTTCTTTTTTTAAAATCATTTAGCACTTCGTTTCTTCAAATAGTATAATCGTGTTTTTTAATTTTCTTTCAATATTCTCAGTTGAATATATTATCGAATATCATAATTCTTTTGTTTCTATTTTTAAGAAATTAAACCGTACTATGTTTTTTCGTTCAGAATTCGGTAATTATTCAATTTAACTTTATTATTTATGTGAAATAATAATGATAAAAAATAGTGTTGTTTTAAAAGTGTTTTTCTTTTGTTTAATTTATTTAGCACTTTGTTTTAAGCATACAAATAATTTTTAACGAACTTATTTTTCAAATTTTCTGTCTATATTGTTAGGTAAATATATTGATAAATTTCAATTTTATTTATTTTTTTATTATTTATTTTTAAACTAAGAAATATTTCGTTATTTGTGCAATCATTTTTAGAAAATATAGCATTAATATCTTTAAGCAAAACATATACACCAAATTCATAAATTTATTTAAATCAATCTGAGTATTAAGTTTTGATAGAAATCTGACTTTATGCGCCTTACAAGTAAATGAATTTCTAAAATACTATATCGCGATGCAAAACTGACGATGCATCACGATATAAAATTTCTTATATCGCCCAGTCCTACTATCCGTTTCTATTCTTTTACACACAAACAATAGTTTTGTTTTTCTACTGAAAAATTAATTTTTAGACATACTTTGTCTAAAAAAATCATATTCATTTTGAAATGTTGGATGTATGAAATATAAATCCAAAGATGTCTTTTAACATGCCCTAAAGGGTTTATGCATCAAAAAAAAAAAGCTTTTAAGTTGTATCCAATAATCATTTTTAGCCCATTTTTTTCGAAAAAATTTGTGCACATGCACAGTGATTGTTTTTTAGAATGTATTTAATTTTTTTTATAAACTACAAATTTTTCTCTTATTTTGATAACAAGTGAATATTAGTATTTGAAATACATACATAAAATAGTATAAGAGTGTAATTTAAAAATTGTTGAGGATGAAAATCAGTTATTACATAGTATTTAATAAATTATTTACAGTATTAAGTGAGTGTCCCTTTACAACTCAAAATCTTTTCATTCTGAGGAAACAACTCCCAGCGAAAGTCTGAAAATCAACGGTCCTGAGAAACGCGGAATTCAGCAAGATTCCCAGAAAAACCCGGAATTCTGGGATACCCCCGAAGTATACCTGAACAAGAAACAGAATGTAAACAAGTTTTTGTTTTATTAAAAAAGTTTATTATTTTTAATTTTTCATTATTTATCCTTATGAAATAACATAATTTATCAATATTAAAAGCACATTTATTCATATTTAAAGGATTAGGTATTCACTTTTGTTGTTTAATGAATTGCGGAGCTTCTTAAATCTTTTCCTATTATATTGTTTATTAAATGTCTACAACACTAATTTTAATTTGAAAAAAAAATTGACACTCACGAAAGTCAATAAAAATTGGAGTAAGTATTAATGAGAACAGTCATTTTAAGAAAAATTATTAGAACTGATTGAATATTTATGTATATATGATTTTAAGATATGTATATATGATTTTAAGATATGTAAATATGACATTCATAAATGTTGATGATAAATGGTGCAATAGACTTTAAAACAGTAGATACACATAATTCAACCTTCTAGTATGAACCTAGTACGACATTCAATAATACATCAAATGAAAAGAAATAGGGAGATTAGATAGCAATAATAATGTATAATCAGGGGTCTGTCTAGGTTTTTCTGAGAGGTACCTATTTTGTGAAAATTTAGACATAATTTGCAAAAAATTTAAAAATCAACACAAAAATATGGTAAAAATATGGATTTATCGTTTGTTAAGGGATACAAAAATAAAATTTTAAGAAAAAGTATTTTGTGAAATTTTTCCAAAAATTTAATTTGTGAAACTACTGTTTTTCCTAAAGTTGAATTTGTGAATGTACCAATAAACAGTATTAATTCGGCCTGGACGGACTCCTGATAATGAAGCATGCATAATTAATCCGTTACTATGAATAGTTTCATTAACTGTAACAAAGTGACTAACATTTGTTGGTAATCAATATAAAAGCTTAACAAATAAAATTTAGTTCTAAAGACAATTTTGTTTTGAATCATTAAAAGATAATATTTTCTAAAATATATTCTGCTATATAGCTTGATAAACAAGCACAAATTTCCACTCTAATTTTTACTCAAACATATTAGCAAACGACTCAACAATAAAAAAGTTTCTTACGAACATTTTAATAACCATGTAAAACAGAAAAATATTTTGGTTTCTTCTACAGAAATTTCCTAAAGATTTTTCAGGGGAAAACAATGCAGAGAGTTATAGAAAATTTTATTGATTTATTTCATATAACTCAATAATTTAGGGAGATTAATAAAGGCTATTTGTTAGGTAATTACCTGATGTGCCATTTTAGTTTGACTAAGGAAGTTTTAAGCATGCAACTGCGATTCCAAGCTACTACAATTTACCAAACTAAATAATAAATGCCGGATTAAAAACGCAAGCATATACTTAGGTAACAAACCACTAAAAATGTATTTACATCAGAGGATACAACTAATTTATTTTTAAAAAAATCATGTTACAATGTGTAGAAAAATATTATTAAAAGATTTAAATTATTATACCATGATGATATATGGAAAAAAAAATCTATTGCAGATTGCTTATATTAGAGAGATTGCCCATCAGTGAGATAAAATAAATTTGTTCTAAGTTTAAAATACACACTGCTATAATTATACCATTGTTAAAATAATTTCTTTACTAGGAAATTATTTAATATGAACAGCAATATGTTTTACAACAGTGTCTGGATTGATTAACTAGATCTCATATTTACATTGCTTTTAACAGCATGAAGACCATCACACCAAGTTAAAAACATCAAAAATTACAAGCAATAAGTAAAAATACATTACAAAATTTAATTTAGTAACTAAATTATAGGGCTGTTATCATTGAATCATAGTAACCCTAAGTTTTAACAAACTTCTTAGGTACTGATAATTTATAATACAACACAATGTTGAACTAGGGAAATCATTACAGTAATATTTTTTCAAACAAAATCATTATATAAAACATGCAAAATTAAAGTTGGAAGACATCTGATAGCTATGAGAATGCTTTAAAAAATGTTTTACAAGTTATAAAAATCAAATGAAAGTGATGGGGAAAAAATGAACAAACTTAATTGCTATGTCTGTCAAAGAGTAAATATGGTATTTATACAGTTAAAAGACATCAGATTCATAATTTTACTTTTAAAAGGTGCAAAAGATTCCAAACGAAGTATACACGTATGTTTATTTTATTCAGCAATAATGCTTCAAAATATACTAATCAAATTCAAAGCATTAATATGCCCCACACCCTACATACATTCAATACTAAATTAAAAAATAATTTCAATGATCTTTGAATCTGACTTCATATTTACTTGAGATTTCAGACGAAAAGTAATGAGCTTTTGTCGTAATTATCAGATAAACACCGGTTTCATATTTAGTTGACATTTCACATAATTGTACAATAACTAAATAGCGTAATCTGAAATCAAAATCAATTCTTAAAGTTGTATTACTATAATCATGCATACTTACGTTAAAACTTTAATGATCTATTAGTAAATTTAAATTCTTTATGGATTATTCTAAGAAAAGGAAGAAACGGACTTTAGAAATGGGAACACCATCGGCAAAATGGCCGAATACCATGATCATCCATTGGTCGCGTTCCAATATTCGCACTGAAGTGCAATAATCACGTGACCTCAGATACTGCTAGTTCTCACTGCAATTTAGGAATGATTGGTGTGGTTTGGTCGAGTTTTGGGTGTCATTAGCAACCGAAAGCAGACGCTCACCTTGTTTTATTTAATCAAACATTTATATTTTGAATATTCTTCTTTCTTTTCTGAGTATTTTGCTTATTTTTGGGCATTCCATTATGATGTTGATGTTGTTGTTCATTTATGTCACACTAGAGCTGCACAATGGGCTATTGGCGACGATCTGGGAAGCATCCCTGAGGATGATTCGAAGACATGCCATCACAATTTCGATCCTCTGCAGAGGGGATGGCACTCCCGCTTCGGTAGCCTGGCGATCTTCAAGCGAAGTCGAGCACTTAACGGTTGAACAGTAGAACGGTAGAACAGTTTAACGAAGACCAATACCACACACCCTCGGTCCCTATGCAGACTGATCCATGTGGTCACCCCACACACTGACAGCAACCAGTGATTGTTAACTTCGGTTATCTGCTGGTAACCGTGTCTTAACGATCAGCTTATTGGGGAACTCTCGTTAAAGCGTTAAAGAGTCGCATTACTCGTTAAAGAATAGATACTTCCAGATACTTACATACTAAAGAATAGAAACTGTGTTATAGAATAAAGCAAACAATTATGCGCTTGCTTTATGATTAGTTTCATTTTTCTTAGTAAGTTTGATATTTAAAATTACCAAAGGGGAAAATGAAAATTTACTTAGTACAATTTTCATTGTTTTACTTCCAAATATTCCGGTATCACAACTTTATTTATTTTTTTGCAAAATATGTGGGAAAAGTGCATTCATCAAAGTCCACCTTCATCAATCAATTGTGCATAGAATAGAGCAAATTGTCACAGATCTCGTTTTAAGATTAGAAGGTTTACACGCAAGTCGCATAACAAATCTTTTTAGATTTACATTAAAAGATTTTTGCTAACTGAAAATAAACCTTATTTTGCTATCTGGGAATGCCTTAAATTTGATTTTTACGAATCGCCTCAAGTTCTCTCATTTAGTTGCTAGCTGAACTCCCGATAACCCGGCTTTTTACAGTACTCCGTTACGAAAAAAGTGCATTTTCCTCATTAATTTTTCGTTTTAGCTCATAGCACATTCTTATGTAAATTAATCAAAATTAATTACAAGTACAAAATTAAGCATCATTGATATCTATAACAGTTTGCTAATTTTTTACTCTCTCTTAAACGAACTGAGTAACATTTCTTCATTATTTTGCCTTTAAGTATATAGCTTATTATTGCATTTTAATTTGTAATTTGCCAAAATTAATTATCCTCATAGTCAAAAATAATATTGGGTTTTTTAATGCTTATTCCTCTGCGAATTAGCTTCATTTTTCTAATAAATTTGTCTTTCAATTGAAAACTTTTGTATTCATTTCAATTACCGTCGATTTTAAATTATTGAGTTTTATAAAAAGATGTTTAAAAGCATAACGAAAATAATTACGATGGTTTTAAATAAACGTTGTTGTTGTTGTTAATTTACGTCGCACTAGATCTGCACAATGGGCTATTGGCGACGGNAACTTAGAAGCATTAATTAGGCAATGTAGTTTGCTTATGCTACCACGATTATGTTAATCATTTAGATAACCTTCAATAACAAAAAGAATATAGCTATAGTAAAGTATAATACAGAGCGCAAATAGCATCTTTTTTTTATTACAGGTAACTGATGATAGCAAACATAACTGATGATATCTTTAAAATACTTGAAAAATTTAATTGTCTGTAGCATATTTTAAAACACTGGTTACCACTAAGCAAATGAGAAAATACCATTTTTTAAATGTCTCTAAATTTAAAATATAATTAAAAAATCAGGCTTTTTAATTCATTTACAATTTTACTCATTCAGATTCATTATGGTAATAATAAATAGAAATTAGTAATCTCACATTCTTAGAACTTACTGTATACCCTTGTGGTGCGCAAGAGCAATAACATAACAAGCATTTATATTTAGTTTTATGAAAAATAAAAACAACGTTGCTAAGACAACTCAATAATAATAATTACTATATTGACGTTCCAGACATTGGGATGTAAAAGTATTAATGGATTTATATATTTTATATTAACTTGTAAATAACTGTGTATATTAAATGTTGTGATGTCTCCAATTTACTTCGTTTTTATTTATCCAAAATCGCACATAGTAGGAAGATAGAAAACCTTCCCTTACAACTGGTGACCTCAGGACGTGATTAGTTTAACAGTGCGAAGATTTTATTTGGATAAAAGAAAGGTTTGTGCATTACCATTATTTTATAATTATCTTTATATTAAACATGGAGGAAAGCACAAACGATAATTTAAATTCATCAACTCAAGATAATGTGAATTTAGAAGTAAACAAAGTGGCAGTTAAACCACCAATTTTTTGGCGACATAAACCTAAGTTATGGTTCTTACAACTTGAAGCACAGTTTGCTAACGGCAATATTACTCGTGATTTAACTAAGTATAACATTGTCGTTGCCTCATTAGACGAAAATGTCTTAGATTTCGTTGAGGATATTTTGTTAAACCCGCCAATGAATGGAAAATACGACGCCTTAAAAAATGCATTGTTAAGTAGATTGACAGATTCTGAAGAAGCCAGGTTAA